TCTTTTTATACTAAAAAACTCCCTAGTCCTTGCCGATGACAAGCATACCCATAACATGATGCAGCCACCACCACGCTTGACAATATGAAGAGTGGTACTCAGTGATGTATGGATGTTGAATTTGCCCTAAATATGATGCTTTGTATTCAGGACTTAAAATGCTTTGAAGTTTATTCATTTGCAGTTTTAGTTTAGTGCCTTATTGCAAACAGGATGTATGCATATTTTTATTCTGTACAGGCTTCCTACTTTTCACGCTGTCATTTAGGTTAGTATTGTGGAGTAACTACAATGTTGTTGATCCATCCTCAGTTTTCTCCTATCACAGCCATTAAACAAACTATTTTAAAGTCACCATTGGCCTCATGGTGAAATCCCTGAGCGGTTTCCTTCCTCTCCGGCAACTGAGTTCAGAAGGATGCCTGTATCTTTGTAGTGACTGGGTGTATTGATACACCATCCAAAGTGTAATTAATAACTTTGCCTTGCTGAAAGGGATATTCAATGTCCGTAAAAAAAAAAAAAGATATACCAATCTACCAATTGGTGCCTCTTTGCGAGGCATTGGAAAACCTCCCTGGTCTTTGTGGTTGAATCTGTGTTTGAAATTCACTGCTCGACTGAGGGACCTTACAAATAATTGTATGTGTGGGGTACAGAGATGAGGTAGTCATGTTAAACACTACTATTGCACACAGAGTCCATGCAACTTATGTGACTTGTTAAGTAAATCTTTACTCCTGAACTTATTTAGTCTTGCCATAACAAAGGGGTTGAATACTTATTGACTCAAGACATTTCTAAAAACATTATTCCACTTTGAGATTATGGGGTATTATGTGTAGGCCAGTGACACAAAATCTCAATTTAATCCATTTTAAATTCAGGCTGTAATACAACAAAATGTGGAAAAAGTCAATACTTTTCTGTAGTTGCTAAAATGCTAAAGTTGTCTGTGATGAGATTCGAACACGCAACCATTGGGTTGCTAGACATTCGCGTTATACACCTACCCATCCACCCTCCTTTCATTTTTGCTTTAAGTAATCTGTCATCCCAAACATATAACTTACCATACTAATTTGAGTGTGCCGTATTTACGTAGGCCAATGTAATGTAACCTTACAAAGTAACATATCATACTAAATGGAATGGCATGGATTTTTGTAAAATATATGTTTTGCTCTGAGACCAGGCTGGGAAAACAAATATCGCCCAACAAAGAACCATCAGTTGAGTGGGTTGAACAGAGAATGTCCACAGACTCTTTACCACTAGAGCCACAAGTAATGACACATAGTAACAGGGAGGTAGAGGAGAGCCCAAACTTCAATCCGAGTGGCTTGCATTTCAGAGGTGAGGTGGGACTGTCTGCAAGGCATCTTCTGTGGTGCGATGAACGTTGACGTTCTGAAAGAGGAACATACACGTTTTACATCCCTTTGAAGAAGACACCAGAATGACGAATCAAATCTGTCCATGGAGTTTCTAAACAAGGGAGATGTTCTGTGGTTATCAACTTTTTAAAAAAAAAATCAGTGAGAGACACTATGTGCTGTACACAGTGATGTATGTTTATGTTTGTGGCAGAGAATGGTTTAGAGAAGTAGATATTAGTTTACACAACTGACCCAAATTGTTCCTGGTCAGCTGGTTATGTACACGCACGCTTCCGAGCCAGTGTCCAGGACAAGTAAATGAGTGTATGAAAAAGGCATGTTTTGCAGTTGGCTTTGTGGATGAGGAGAGTTACTGTTATGGTGACGGGTACTGTGTCAGACAGAGGCCAAGCACTGTTCTACAAACAGGTGTTTATACTGAGTCTGATGAATAGGCATTAGTACTCTACAGAGGAAATTACTTCCAATACAGCCTCTGCATATTAATAAGGTTGAGGAACAAATGCTCTGCATTTGCATAGCACAGTATAAGAGGTTTATGAAGACATTTGTAGAACAAAAACATGAGGGTCGATGTATCGATACATAAAATATAGCAGGGCTGGTCAAGTCGATTTTATTAGCATAGCCAGTAAACAGTGATATGTAAATGACCTCCTCATATTCCATCTGGAGCAGAGACCTTCACATTTTAATAAAAAAAGAAACGTTTCTCTGGGCCTTTATACATGATTATAAAATGAACATTTAATCTAACTTGATCAAATTAAAAATACACTAAACTGAATGAAATTTTAAAAAATAACTAATTAAAGAAACACTCAAAAGAGTTTAGGTTTCAGAGTAAAGGTGCAAAACACTACCTCATCAAGTAGACATTTGTGCAACGCTATGAACACCGACAGACACACATTCAACTTTTAAACTAATTAAAAGACAGTGAGGCACATTGAACTCCACATACTCACGACTGACAAATAATAATAAAATACTGAGCTTCCTGAATAAAAAGTGACATACATCCATGAGACTAAATTAAAAAGGTTTTCCTAAAATTAAAATATTTGAAATGAAATGTGCTTCGGGTTAATCGCTTTACATTTGGCAGTACAACATTGATTTACAAAACCATTATGTCAATTTGGAGAGAAAAAAGCAGCATTTCAATAAACAAAAAAACAACAAAAAATGACACCAGACCCTTATGGTAGGGATATTTACAAATTAACTGAATTCCAGTTAATTATCAGTGCTTCTGATGTCAGGAAGTAAAGAGGGTATGGAGTGATTGAGGACTAAGTGTCTGATTGAAGGACTAGATAAGGGGAAAGGGCCAGACGGAGGAGTAGAAAGAAGGGAGTGTGAGGGATAGTATCTCACTGATGAGCTGGTACTGTTAGCAAAGCCTCCTCTGCCATCCGCGACACCTTTACGTTCTGTTCAGCAATGAAACAAAAGCTTGAGGTCAAACATCAGGGAAACAAAATAGCTATAATGGGAGGATGGGTGGGAAAGACAGGGGGCTCAAACCTAGCGCAATGCTAAATCTTAGCGCTGGCGGTAGCGTTATAGGTTCAGGGTGAGTCAAATATTTTTGCCATTTTCACAATCGGAATTATGGGCGCAGTAGTTGTTGGTGGCGCGAAAGGGCTGGGTTTTGATGAATAAACAAGTTGTGGGTTTGTCTAGGCTTGACCCTTCACTGGCCAATCAGAATGTGCGCCATGGCTAAATATGTGGCTGCTTCAAGTTGTGTATTTACGGTCTTTTATGTATTGCACTGTCATCAACTCCAATTCTAATGTTAGTCCGTTTTAGCCTAGTTTGCTAAATATGTTGAACATGTCAGCCCACATTGTTCTAATTGCATTGCTTCAATATGGAAACATAGGCTACAGCATTCGCACTGACACAGGGGCAATATCTACTGTAAATTGCAGTCTGGACATGGACATGCCAAACGTAGTCAACAAGCAATATTAAATTCACTAGGCTATTAAAAAGACAGTGCATAATTCTAATAAAAACAAAACAACTTGTTTTAAATAGGCGATGTCTAAATACAGTTACAGGCACCATAATTGCTCCCTGTGGGCGTACAATACAGACAAGGCAACTTAGACTATGGAGGGTTTTACGCACATCCAAACTTTTTGCAGGAGCTGGATAAAGATCTAATATAAAGAGAAAGGGGGAATGTCCACTCACCGTTATACTTCTCGCAAATGTAATGTTTTATAAACATAATGGAACCACCTTACAGATCATATTTGCACATCTCCAGAAAAAGCAGACAAAATTTCCATTGCATTCGAGCCAATACTAGGCTCTTGTCAATTGTATCGTTCTCAAAATAATCTGCCGTTGATATGGCATTATAGAACGACCGAATATTTTGGAAGAGCGTGTCTTTGGTAAATCGGATGAGAGGCGCTCTTTGAAAATGGGGATGGATAGCCTACTTGAACAAGCAAAATGCAGGTATGTGAATTGTGAATAATTAAAATGTACGAGGGCATAAACCTCCAAAATATTTAAAAGCACCCCCAGTAGAAACCATATCAAAAAAGGTTTATTCATAGGCTACTTTTGGCCTTTGGCCAGGATAAAAAGGCACACCTATGTGATGCTGCTAAACCAGCCTTGATTAAGGGGAGGGTAGGCTATGTGATGCTGCTAAACCAGCCTTGATTAAGGGGAGGGTAGGCTATGTGATGTTGCTAAACCAGCCTTGATTAAGGGGAGGGTAGGCTATGTGATGTTGCTAAACCAGCCTTGATTAAGGGGAGGGTAGGCTATGTGATGTTGCTAAACCAGCCTTGATTAAGGGGAGGGTAGGCTATGCTTGTTTTTTTATCAAATTAAATGAAATGGGCGGAAATCAATAATTTGTTTAGGTTTCTAAATACGAGCTTCACTGGCACATCTCTCCTTCCATGGGCACTGTGCATCATGGCGGGATAGGCTGCACTTCCACTCTCAAAATCCATGCCATTATCACCTGTGCTACCGTTAAGACCTGCATTTTGTGGGTCTTAAAACTTCCCATTAGCGCTGCATGAAATTGTCACTTTTGCGCTTGTTTTTAAAGGACACACCTCAAATATTGACACCCCTCCCACCTCAGCGAAAGCGAGCTGATGTTTGACAGGTAAACTGTCAAACCTGGCATTCGGCACTAGCGCCTCCTTAGTGCCAGCTGAAAATAGAGCCCAGGATGTGATAAAGATGTGATAAAAGTACATTTAATAATTTAATTATCCAAGTTGATTCTAATAGTTACACTACCTAAATGCTTCTCTACGTATACAATAAGGAAATGTCATGAACATGATTCCTAATGACACGTCACCTGATGACATAACATCATGAATCATGTCGTTCCATCCCACTATCCTCTAACTAATGGATATATTCAGGATGAGAGCGTGAGAAGGTGATGACAATGGATGAAGGTCACAACATGAGTCACTATCATCATCTTTAGTACTGATACCAGTGCACATGACATGATCTCTACAATAAAGATTCCACTCTAGGCCCTACTATTAAACACTCCTCTGATTGTGAAGCCATTGCAACCAGGACTGTTGAAAAGCACTACAGCTGCACAGGTTACAGAGTTTAGAGTAATCTGTCAAGCGTAGCACAGATTCCCGCTTATCTTTACCAACTCTGCCACCAAATCAGTGTCTGTGTGTGCGAGTATGTAGATATACCAACCTCTGGTCTATCTCTGTGAGTGTTCACTGCGTCCACATTTAGGTAGATGGACTCCACCTTACAGCCTGAAAACACAGAGCACAGAAAGGTGCATTTGTGTATTATAAAACAACAAAATCCAATGTGAAATATTTATGTTATTTCACAATTCACATTGAAGCAGGTACAGACAGGACTGGGTAGCAGTGGAAGGCCAGTCTTACCATAAGCCACTGGTGTGAGCTTCAGCACGGTGTGCAGTGGGCACTTCAGGTAGGGCAGCTCCTCTGAGAAACAACACACAAACATTACCAAGAAATCTATTACAAAAGAGATCTACAAAAAGGGACCAAACAACACCTTCCATCGGTCTTATCTAGGAGAGACAACCAGACTGACCTGCGGTCTTATCCAGGAAGTACGCCAGCAGGCAGCGCATGATAGCCTGGTGACAGACGACCAGGATGTTCTCCTGCCTCTCCAGCTCCATGATGACTGGCTCCAGACGCTGCACCAGGTCCTCATAGGACTGAGAGGACAGGTCAACGGTCAGATACACTCAGAGACAGAGAGATAGACAAACAGACAGGCAGACCAACCAAGACTCTCACTCGGCCAAAAAGGCAAGGTCACAATAGGGTGACACAAAAACTTAACCAAGGCAGGGTGTAAAAAAAAAAAACACACAAAAAAACATGGCACAGACAAATACAACATGAGAAATTATCTTCAGTAATGGGGTCTACAGTGGAAAACAATGTAGAAAGCCTAACCCTAATGTACGTTAATCCATTAGTAGTAAAGTGTCTCAGACAACAATGCCCTCTCCCACCACTGAGTGGGAGATGGGCAGACAGCCTCGCTTATCACCACCTCCATCTCTCTAAGTGGGAGTAATGGGACAGACTAAAGGTGAGAACACACTGCTGGGTGTTCATGGCCACTGAAAAACTGCCTGGACCCAGAGCTTGGAGCACAGACTGACAGACAGGGACAGAGAGAGAGGAAGGGGGCTTTGTTTACTACAGCCTCAGCCTGGTGCTTAGCTCAAGCTGTCGGAGAGGCAGCTTATGCAGGCTGGGCGCTGTGTGTAAGTGGCCGGCCATTAGCCACCTGAATGTGGTTAAAGTGGAATTGACAGCATTTTAACTACTTTGCAGATATGAAACAAACAGACAATCATAATATCAGTAAAAAAGATCAAATTCCCAGATTATGCTACAAAACCAGCTTTATAAAAGAGGTTTTAAAAATAGGTTATATTCGACCAAAAAATCCATGACGTAGAGTAATGCATTGTTGGCAGAATAGACAGATACAGTTCAATGCATGATTCGGAAAGCACTCCGACCCCTTAACTTTTTCCACATTTTGTGACGTTACAACCTTATTCTAAAATGGATTAAATAGTTTTTTCCCCCCCTCATCAAATCTACACACAATACTCCATAATGACTAAACTAAAACAGGTTGACATTTTTGCAAATGTATTAAAAATAACTGAAATATCATATTTGCATAAGTATTCAGACCCTTTACTCAGTACTTTGTTCAAGCACCGTTGGCAGCGATAACAGCCTTGAGTCTTCTTGGGTATGACGCTACAAGCTTGGCATACATGTATTTGTGGAGTTTCTCCCATTCTTCTATGCAGATCCTCTCAAACTCTCCGGTTGGATGGGGAGCGTTGCTGCACAGCTATTTTCAGGTCTCTACAAAGATGTTCGATCAGGTTCAAGTCCGGCCTCTGGCTGGGCCACTCAAGGACATTCAGAGACTTGCCCCGAAGACACTCCTGCGTTATCTTGGCTGTGTGCTCATAGCAAAGGGTCTGAATACTTATGTATTTTTTTTTTATACATTTGCTAAAATGTTTTTCGCTTTGTCATTATGGGGTATTGTGTGTAGATTGATGAGAAAATAAATAATTTAATCAATTTTAGAATAAGGCTGTAACGTTACAAAATGTGGGAAAAGTCAAGGGCTCTGAATGCTTTCCAAATGCACTGTATGTAGCTATTTATTAAGCAAGCTAAAAACACAGCCTAACGTTAGCTAGCTGCTGGGAGAATGTCATGTCATTGGACGAGTGGCCGACTTTTTCCCCTTCACATCGTTTTTCGGCAGCTACAGCTAGAGATGCAGGTGTCATTTGGTTTGCTAACAAGAAATGTGAATTGCTGAACGACTTAGCACAGTTAGCAAGCATATCTCTTAGTTGTTAATCAAATGTATTTGGCATCGATAAAATGGGCGGGCAGGCAGTTTCCATTCAGTTGTCAAAACGTGGGTTGGGACAAGCATGCATTGGCAGGCAAGTTGCAGAAGGGCGAGCAGGCTACTATTCCCTATCGTTTATCAGTGCAATTGTGACGGCCAACTACAAGCTGAAAAAGTTTAAGAGTGTTTATCTACTTTTGCCTCATTAGATTTTAGCTCATCTCTCTCTGGCTAACATTAGTTGTTGGTCTTAGGGAGGGAGAGATAGCCTAACTGGTTGTTTGATCAATAGGACTGTAAAGTTCCCAAATGTAAGGGGATGCCTGTGAAATCCACTCAGGTGTATTTTTAGGATTTTGGCTAATACTTTCTAATTATTTAAAGTCACGCTGTTGCTACTGCCTGTAAACACACAGTCCAGCTCAAAGTGAATGATTGCAGGCCAGTGTGGCAAATGGCTTATTTGCATATAGGCCTACTGTAGCTCTGATTGGCTATGGCGCACTGGTCTGTCTAGATTCCGGTCCTGGACAAGACGGACACGTTTTTATTTACTGCAGTGTTTTAATTGCCCAAACGCACAGCTGCTTTCCCACTATATATTGCTATAGAATTTTCACAAATGCTTTACGCGGTCATTCCCAAACATTCCATGAAAGTATGAAAACTACCATATCTAAGTGCTCGCTTGTCAGAAAATGTACAAAAAAGGAATCATATTCTTTTTGGGGGTGTATATGAACAGATTTCATGTTGCTAAAACGCTGTCAGTTCTACTTTAATGTCCCAGTGCCAAAAGAAAACAACATTTGGACCCCATGAGCAAAACATTCACAAAGAAAACCATGGCCCTTACTTTGACCTATTTTGATGCTCTTCAGCAGAAGCAAGTTATGACACATAAAACCAGCATTCAGGTTGGCAGAGCCCTTTCATAATGCATAAAGATTTTTTTTTTTTTTATGTGGCATTAGAGAATGTTCTCTTGTCACTCACCTCTCCCTTGGGGTAACGGTAGCGGTATTTGTCCTGGTCCCTCATTGCAAATTCCAGAGGGTAGTGCTGCTGGATCTCCTCATACATCATCTCCTCACACACACCCTGAGGATAACACACACACACACACACACACACACACACACACACACACAATCACTTCAGTTACTCAAACACACCACAACATAGTTTGTAAATCACAGACTTGCACAATTTTCCAAATCTACTCTTGTACTTTGCATTTTAGTTACACTGTTTATACACACTCCATATTTATTTATATACTGGGCTCTTGACATAGCTCACTAACATATCTACTGCCTATGCAGTACGGATCCAACAAGACCCTGAACAGCTTCTACCCCCAAGCCATAAGACTACTAAATAGTTAGTTAACCTCTTAAGGATCGGATCCTTTTTTCCCAATTTTCGCCTAAAATGACATACCCAAATCTAACTGCCTGTAGCTCAGGACCTGAAGCAAGGATATGCATATTCGTGATACTATTTGAAAGGAAACACTTTGATGTTTGTGGAAATGTGAAATTAATGTAGGAGAATATAACACATTAGATCTGGTAAAACATAAAAAAAAAAAAAAACATGCGTTTTCTATTTGTTTTTTTATTCCATCATCTTTGAAATGCAAGAGGTAGCGGCAGGTAGCTTAGTGGTTAAGAGCGTTGTGCCAGTAACCGAAAGGTTGCTGGTTCTAATCCCCGAGCCGACTAGGTGAAAAATCTGTCGATGTGCCCTTGAGCAAGGCACTTAACCCTAATTGCTCCTGTAAGTCGCTCTGGATAAGAGCGTCTGCTAAATGACTAAAATGTAAAATGTAAGAGAAAGGCCACAATATAATATTGCAGTTTAGGCGCAATTTAGATTTTGGCCACTAGATGGTAGCAGTGTGTGTGCAAAGTTTCAGATTGATCCAGTGACGCATTGCAATACTGGACTATTTTGTATCAAGTCTGCACAAATGTGCCGATTTGGTCAATTTATATATTTTCAAGTACATAACTATAGAGAAAATGATACGGTAATACAAAATGTAAGTTTACACACTCCCAGTAATGTCATACATGATGGATCATTAACTTATACACTAACTTTCACACATCTAGATGGCCGGGCGGGGTGGGTGTGGAGCCAGAGACAGCAGGGGTTCAAACATTAGAATATAAAAATTGATTTTATCAAACAAAACTATGCTACATTTTATCTCTGGGACCCTTAGGATGACAAATCAGAGCAAGATTACTGAATGTAAGTACATTATTTACCTTCAGAGGTGAATATATCAAACCAGTTGCTGTGATAAGTTTTGTTGTTGTTGTGCACACTCCTCAAACAATAGCATGGTATTTGTTCACTGTAATAGCTACTGTAAATTGGACAGTGCAGTTAGATTAACAAGAATTTAAGATTTCTGCCCATATAAGACATGTCTATGTCCTGGAAGGTTTGCTGTTACTTACAACAGTCATGCTAATCACATTAGCGCACGTTAGCTCAACCGTCCCGTATACGGGACACCGATCCCGTAGAGGTTAAAGCCAATAGCTACCCGGATTATCTGCATTGACTCTTTCTGCACTCTTGACTCATCACATACAGTGGGGAGAACAAGTATTTGATACACTGCCGATTTTGCAGGTTTTCCTACTTACAAAGCATGTAGAGGTCTGTAATTGTTATCACAGGGGATGTAGCTCAGTTGGTAGAGCATGGTGTTTGCAACGCCAGGGTTGTGGGTTCGATTCCCAAAGGGGGAAAAAAATATATAATGCATGCACTAACTGTAAGTCGCTCTGGATAAGAGCGTCTGCTAAATGACAAAAATGTAAATGTAAAAAATGTAAATAGGTACAATTCAACTGTGCGAGACGGAATCTAAAACAAAAATCCAGAAAATCACATTGTATGATTTTTAAGTAATTAATTTGCATTTTATTGCATGACATAAGTATTTGATCACCTACCAACCAGTAAAAATTCCGGCTCTCACAGAGCTGTTAGTTTTTCTTTAAGAAGCCCTCCTGTTCTCCACTCATTACCTGTATTAACTGCACCTGTTTGAACTCGTTACCTGTATAAAAGACACCTGTCCACACACTCAATCAAACAGACTCCAACCTCTCCACGATGGCCAAGACCAGAGAGCTGTGTAAGGACATCAGGAATAAAATTGTAGACCTGCACAAGGCTGGGATGGGCTACAGGACAATAGGCCAGCAGCTTGGTGAGAAGGCAACAACTGTTGGCGCAATTATTAGAAAATGGAAGAAGTTCAAGATGACGGTCAATCACCCTCGGTCTGGGGCTCCATGCAAGATCTCA